ATTTTTAAAAAAGGAAGGAAAATGCTCAAATTCATGCAATAAGGAATGAAAAGGGAGAAATCACTACAGACCTTGTAGAAATAAAGAAGATCATCAATAGCTACTTTGAATACCTTTGCTTTCACAGGTTTGATAACACAGAAGAAATGGACAGATTCCTAGAAAAGTATGAATTACCAACGACAAATACTGGAGAGGCTGCAGAGAAAAAGGAACTCTTCTGCAGTGTTGGAAGTGTAGACTGATGCAACCACTATGGAGGTCAATCTAGAGGTTCCTCAAAAAGCTGGAATTGGAAGTCCCATTTGACCCAGCTGTTCCACATCTGGGCATATTCCCAGAAGAACTGAAAACATCATACCACAGTGATATATGTATACCACATTTATAGCTGCACAATCTGTAATAGCTAAATCTTGGAAAATAATCTAAGTACCCATCAACTGAGAAATGGATAAAAAAAAGATATGGTACTTTTATACAATGGAATACTATTCAGCTGTAAAGAAAGACTGCATTGAGGCTTTTATAGTTAAATGGATGTGACTTGAGACCATACTCATAAGTGAAATAAATCAAACTCACATGTGTAAATGCCATATTGTCTCCCTAGTGTAAGAATGAAAAGAAAATAAAGAAGAATAAAGAAAATACAAAATCTTCAAAAAATACTGTGAAAGGTAAGAAACTTCTCAAAGAAGAAAAAACAACTCAGGGAAAGGGAGAGAAAAGAAAAAAGGATACAATTTGTATATGTACACTTAAGATTACTAAGATGATTATACAACTAATTCTGTTAGTTCTTGGAACAAAACAGTTAACATCCACAGGATTAGATCAATTTTGCCTGACTATCTGGTAATTCGAATAAGACTTTTGAAGGTAATAATGCAAAACAAGAAAATTTGTTACATTCCTACAACCTTGTTTTGAAAGCCTATACTTTGTTTTGTTTTTCCCTCTAATACAGAAAGGATAGATCTATATATATATAGGTTTAGAGCTTCTCCTAAGAGTCTACAAGAATTCATTTTATTATGTTTGATGGTAAGAACAGCTACTTCGAAGAAAATGAGACGTTATGGTAGCCATTGTTGATTTCCTATTAGCTTGCTGTGAAGTCCAATAATGCTTTTATTTTTTGTTCTGATTGATTTTAGTCTGTTTTGTGTTACTTAATTTCAATATACATGAAGGTATGAACAGTTATTTTGAAGAGAACAAGAGACCTTATGGTAGCTATTACTGATTTCCTAGTGTCTGGTTTTGAAGGCCCGTAAGACTCTCATTCCTTTGGTTTGATTGCTTTTATACTCTTTTGGTTTATATTAACTTACTGTGGGTGAAGGTATGAACAACTATTTCAAGGAAAACAAAAAACCTTATGGTGGCCACTGTTGATTTCCTGATGTCTTGTTCTGAAATCCTGTATTATTTGCATTGTTTTACTCTAATCTGCTTTGTTCTGGTTTGGTTTATTATCTTTAAATTTAAAAAATGGGAAAAATGGAGATGATACAATTCACATGTAGCAAGAGTCATCAAATTCATAAAACCAGAAAGTAGCATGGTGATTGCCAGAGGCCAAAGAATGAAGGAAATGGAGTCTTGGTTTAATGGGCATATAGTTTGTTTTTCAGGATGAAAAGGTTCTGGAAATTTTTTGCACAGTAGTGCATACCAAGCATGCACTTAAAATGGTTCAAGATAGCAAATTTTATGTATTTTTATTTCAATTAAAAATTAAAATATAGGAACATAGATAAAGGAATAGATATGTTTTATTAATAAGAAACAAAAGATCCTGGAACTGGTCCTTACTTTTTTTGGTAGCTCTGTATTTCATGACTTAACCACCCTTACTTATATGTAGATTCAGGTAACCTTTACCTCTATTTCTATACTCATAATCCTGACCTTAAATCTAAATGTTGTCAGTTTGGTATTAAAACAATCTTTTTTCCTAGCTTTAGCTCAGCAGCACAAGCGCCTGCTTGACAAGTGCAAGATCATGAGTTTGATCCCCAGTAACAACAAAAAAATTGTTTTAAAAGTGGTATCTCTGAGATTGTAGATTCCTATAACACACTTTTTTAGGAAATAAAGAAAATATCATGAAGATAGTTCTATGAAAATTTTGATATGAATTTGAAAAGACTGGCTTGCTGATTATAAGAAACATAATGATGATCCTTTGTACACGTTGTACATGTTAAGTTTTTAGTTTTAAATAGAAAAATTGTACTCATTTTTGGAATCAAAACTTTGAGGAATGTGAACATATTCCTCAGATTAAAGCCAGATATATCCAAATAATGAAAAATGTCTGTTTGAAGACTTCTGTATCTGTGACTTACTATATAGTATAAACTGGGTGTTTTTAGTATCTTTAAATAATTTGCATCTTTAACAGTTGGCAAATAGGATATCAATGTCATGAATCTTTTTCTATGAGAAAATTTTAAGGTAGGTATTGAGTTTGCTTATTTGTTTGGATTTTTTAAAAAGTAAGGAAATTACAGTTGCAGAACATCTAAAAGAAGCCGCTAAAAGACTCACAGACTGTCATCAAAAGATTTAGACTGAAGTCTAGCGTCTTTTGTAGGAGAGTTGCCAAGCACAGAGCCCCATTTGAAAACACATAGGGCTGTTTTTCATTCTATAGTAGTGTCGTGTTAAAACACACTTTCAAGCTACATGGCAAGATAGAGTAAGACCTCATGTGACTATTCGTCACAATGTGACTAAATGTTCAGAACTTCTGTGCCAGAACTTTGTAACATAATGAGGGAAGATTTTTAAACCTGGTTTAATTTAAAGCTCTGCAGTGGACAGTTTCCCTAGATTCATTGTGTTGTGTCAATTGGGTTGCTGTGAAGTATTTGACTCTGCTCTGGGTTAGATTAATTTAGGATTAAAATCTTGAGGAGCTAATGTCTCATGAGACTATAAATTGAGATAAAACAGATTAGCCTAAGTAGAGAACCCTTTAAAATGTCTTTGATGAAAACCTTTCTTATGATTCAGGAGTAAAGCTGCTTTTTCATACTTGTATACTGTTGTAATTCACTCATTCATATCACCCTATTATTTGGAACCAGTTGTATAATAATTTTTAACATGCAGCATAAGTACCCAAAGGCAATACGTACTTTGTAATAGAAATTTAGATGGGCCTTCTATTAATTTGTTTAAAATTTTTATACTGCTATTTGGCTACTTAAATTGTTTGGACAATAGCATGAACCAAGCAGATTTATTCTCAACTCGATTTTAAGTAGGTGGTGCTTATTGCATAGGAAGCTGACCATAATGAGCCAGCATGACATTACTTTAAGTTAGTCCTGCTTTTTAAAATCCAGTGCTTATAAATTGTGTGCATGTTTCTAATAAAGGCTTATTTGCCACAGCAGAAGATGATTTTCTTTAACATTTGTGTTTTATGTTCATGTGCTATTTATTCATTGCTAGTTATTTGACCTGCATCAGTTCTAGTCCCTTGCTTGTGCAGTGTTCTCCAGGGTTTTCCCCTTGGTAAGCTTAAAAGGTAACCTGCCAACTCAGAATACCCACTTAGGGAATCTCAAAAGTTACTCCCATAAACCTGTATAAAATGCATGCACCTTTTCAGAAATTATAACCTGATCTTAAATCACTGGTGTACATTCTTATAGTTGTTTGTAATCTGTCTCCCCAACAAAACAGGCCACTTAGCAAGGCAGTGGTCATCCTCAGAAATACCATGTGCCAGAAACAGCACTCCCACTTTGCATACATTGCTTCCTTTAAACTTCCTACTCTCAGGAAACGTAAATTGATAAATGGAAAAATGGAGGCTTTGATTTCCAACAAGCTGAGACATGAATACAGAACACCCATCTCTAGAAGGAAGAACCAGAACTAGAAACCACAAACCTAATGCTATACCTTTCTTGATGAAAAGCATTACTGTTCCAGCTGATAAACAAATGTTTCTACACAACTCCTGTCTGCTCTAAAGTACATAATGCTGTCTAATCACTTTTTCAGCCCGGGTATGAATGAAATAGACTAATATTTCCTATAGGTACTATTCTCACAATATTGGGGTTAGTGAGTAAGTTACCAGTTCTAGATTTCAGAAGACCATGACATTATGGTCAGTGTCTTAAGTTCCTACTTTCAGATACTGTTTCTGAACTTGATATTTCACATCTAATTTTATTGGATCTAAGTATATCCTATAGCATACAGGAAAATATATACTTGCATTCTTGTTCTCTGTCACTTAATAATGATAATGCAGTAAACACTGTCCCTAGAAAGTAGATTGTTACAGATGAAAAACATTTGGTCTCAAAGAGGTTAAAAGATTACACACTTGTTAACCTAATAAAGGAGTACATTGGAGTCTTGAACCCAGTTTTTCTGGATCCTGGTTTGATTTCAGTCTTTGTCTCTTACTAGTGTTATGACAATTACCTAACTTCACTTTCTTGACCTATAAAATGGAGTGATGAGATTATTCCCTTCAACGTTTATTGTAGATTAAACAAGTTACTCAAAAGAAGATGCTTGGAATAGCACTTGACACATAGTGACTGCTTAGTGTAGTGCTCATTACAAAAATCATAACCACCATTAATATAATGAATACCACCAGATCTTCATTGTTGAAATAACATTAAACAAGAGATGCATTCCTTCCTCACCTCCTCCTACTTCGCCTTCTCAACATTAACCCCCCACACCAATTTGATGTATATCCTTCTAGAATGTTTCCTGTGACATTCAAAACTATTCTGCATTCTTTTCATTAATAAAATGCCAGGTTGAGATTGAAAAGATTCAAAGTGTTCTTGACAGTAGAGAAATAGGAAAACCAATTTGTTCAGCTAATATTTCTCCAGTGTCTGCTTTGTGTCATGCACTCAGCAAAGTGTTGGAGTTCAGTGTCAAATACAGTACATAGTGAGTTTCTGTTTTGAGCAGTTACTGATCTTATTTTTTGTTTTATTTAGGATATGATGTTTCAGCTTCTTCGAGGTTTGGACTTCCTTCATTCTCACCGAGTGGTACATCGTGATCTAAAACCACAGAACATTCTGGTGACCAGCAATGGACAAATAAAGCTGGCTGACTTTGGCCTTGCCCGCATCTATAGTTTTCAAATGGCTCTTACTTCAGTGGTGAGTAAGAGAGTATTATTCTTTCATTAAACTTACTTTTCCTCTTTTCAATAATAGACACACACACCCCTACTTCTGTGCTCCTATAGTTATTATTGTCTCTGGTTAGTACCAACTAGGAAAGAATGTCTTTGCATTTTTTTTGTATGGTAGTGGATAAGAGGAACACATTCTGCTTACAACTACAGACACATCCGGGCTAGGTTTGTTGTGGACAAGACCAGTTGCAGAAATAGCCTATTGCATCTTAGCCACTAGAAAGGAATCAGTAACAAGCTTCCGAATGCTTTTTACCATAACCACTATTGTCAGAGCTGTACATGTAGTGATGGGAGGATACTCAGCTCACAGCCAGAAGGCACTGAGGACATAGATCCATCTGAGCATTCTAGCTTGAGAAACAACTAGAGGGTCTTCCCAGCTGTATAAAAGCACTCCTTTGAACATGACACTGACTATGAAGAAGTTAAATTGACAGTGAACTCGGATGACTTTTGAACTGGTAGCACTGCTCTGGTGAAGACTTCATTGGTGCTAGAGTAAAAAGTGAACCCAAAACCCTCTTTTGATAAAGAATGAATTACAACATCCTATTCATTCAGATGCAGAATTATAATAGCTATTGACTTTGATTAGCTCTTATTTCTCTTTATTATTTCAGAGGTGAATTTTTGTGAAATTATGCATCCAAACTATAGAAAGAGCAACTTGGAAGTAGGAATCAATATCCAGTTTCTTTGAAATACCTATTTTATAAATAGTATATTCATCATAGATACAAAAAGCCAAGCAGTGGCTTGCTACTTATTTTGAAGCAGGAATTCAATGCAGAGAATCCCTTTGATTTGATGAGAAGTGTTACCCTAAAACATGTTAAATTAAACTTTAAGAAAAATAATACAGATGTGGTCTGTGTTTAACCACAGAGAGGTTCTCAAATCAGGGCAGTGCTCTCCCAGGTGGGAGGCATTGTTGAGGAACACCTAGTGAAATCATTCATCATCACAGTGACATGAGGAATGAGTAACTGCTTTTGATATTTGATGCATATGCTTGAAAGAGGCTAACATTTTGCCCAGCAAAAAATCATTTCCCCAAACTCAGTAATGCTTCAACTGATGAGTAGAAACTTAAGTTAGAAGTTGAAAACTGTGTGACACAGGTAACTTGCCTAGGGAGAATCTGGTTTGAAAATATTCTGCTTCCCTTGTGTCCTTTCCTCTCTCAAAATGTGACTAGTGAACCTGCACATATAAAACTTGTTACATTCCCAACATTTTTTCTACCCAGAATCCTTGAAGTATGTTGCCATTGTTGAAAAATAAATCCTGCTTGTTTCCTCTTTGTCCAGAATATACCAGTACTTTCGAGATGATAAGGCACAAGTTGATATTTAAAGAATAGATTCTGCTTTGGACAGGATCAGACAATCCTGTGTATTCTTACATAATCACACCAGAAAGGGCTGAGTCTGTGTTTCCCCAGTGGGAAGGGTGAGGTAGGCGTTGGGTTTCCCTAGGAAGTTATTGCTCATGTTTGTTCTGGGACCCTGGGGAGAAGCTTGAATAGGCTTTGTGGTCCAAGAGACTCATCAGGGAGCAGATGAAGGAAATGGCCTCCTTGAGTACATAAATTGAGGGAAGGATGAGCTGTAACTGAGCTGGACATTTTATTCCAGTCCCTCAAGTGGGCACTGATATCCATAAATAACAACAGGAAACCCAGTTGGTTTTCGTTTTATCTTTTGCTTGTTAAATTTGAGGAATGATATCTTAGCATGTGTACAGTGTTAATTAACATTCCATTTTTGCTGAAAGTTCATATTTGAAAACAGGAAAATGTAGAAAGATTTCATATTCAGAGTAAAGGTGAAACATAAATGCGTAATTTTTCAGTATCTTGTTGATACTGTATTTATGCTTTATATTTCCTGTGGTGACATAAGTAAAATATGTTAGCAGCTGGGAACGACTTCATTTGCAAGAGTAACAGTTGGAATTCAGTGGCAGTAATAAAATATACAATATCTATAGGGCATTGCATTTTTTAAAATTTCTCATTGTTTTATATTTTTTCTGCTTAAAGGAAAAATCAGTTTAATACAGTCATTTACAGGTACATGGCAACACATAAAAACTTAGAATCATAGTTTTTCACTTTGCAATGGTACAAATACATTTCACTTCCTGTAGATACACATTTTTCAACAAATTGTATCACAGGAATTGAAAATCAACTTAATTTGTGGAATATTAAGGGAATTACATGTTAACTGATTCAAAACTGAAGTCTTTCAGCCTTGAACAGTGCTATTAATGATTATTTAAAGCCTGGTTCATATGTCTTTTCTAGTACCCCCTACCAGAAAACTAATCCTACTTTCTTCCTCCTTTCTAGAGTTATGTTTTATATTTGTGGCACTGCTTTCTGTCTGGTTTATAGCTATTTGGGGATCGTATTTATCAAACTATAAGTTCCTTGAAGGTAATTGCAGCCTCTTATTTATCCTTTTTATTTTGATAGGTATTCAAGTAGTGTTTTTAATGAATAAATTGATACACCGACATGCAGATATAAAGTTGTCATAATAGATACAGAGAAGAAATGACTTATAAGCTACCTGCTACTAGTAAGCATTAACATTTACCTGAATATGTAGCTTAAAATGTCTCAGCCCATTTTGTACCAGAGTCTGATTGATTCATTGGTGGGTACCTGTGTTCAAAGTCAGGAAAGCTACTTATTCTGTAGCTTCACCTCATGCTAGGAGTGAAACAATAACTCAAACCCAGGTTTACAGTTTGTGTGATATATTTAAAATAATCCTTTCAGTTGCATCAAAAACTGATTACTTGTGTAAATTGAACTTCCTGTTCTGAACAGAAAGATATGGAGCTAGAAAATGTGACATTATTGTAATTTAAGACAGTTTTGGTTGTGTTTCTGTTTTTTGTTTTTGTTTTTGTTTGTACCAGGAATCAAACTCATGACCTCGTGCTTGCCGGCAGGCACTTGTGCCACTGAGCTAAATCCCTAGCCCTTAAGACACTGTTTTTAACCATTATATTTTAGTATTAGCAAGCTTTAGAAAAGATTTCCTATTCTTCAGTGGTGAGCATATTCTCCAAAAGAAAGAATGAGTGAATTACTAGATACTTTTATATTTTAGTTGTCTGTTTTATCTATGTTGGTATATATGTATTTAACAGAAATACATGTTATTTCTATTTAGGCCATTGACAACAGTTTGTATTCTTAAAGTCTTTTTAAAAACTTCAAAATATTCTCATTTACAACCTAGACCTTTGAGTGGGCAGTGAGCAATATTTAATTCCATTCATCACCTCACAGATCCTGGACTATTACTGCCTAAATTTTTTTTTGGTACCAGAAATCAAACTCACAACTTCGCATTTGCCAGGCAGGTGTTGTGCTGCTGGGCTATATCCCTGGCCCTCTGTGCCAATATTTTTTTTCTTTTCTTTTTTTTTTTTTTTTCTATCTTTTTCATTTTTATCGGTACCAGGGAGCAAACTCACAACTGCCTGCTTGCAAGGCAGGCGCTTATGCCACTGAGCTAAATCCCCAGCCCCCCTCTGTGCCAACATTTAAGAACAGGCATCTTTTCAGGATTAATTGAGAAAATAGCTATTCTCAGCAGGTGAACTTTTTAAAATAACTTTAAGATAAAACCTTTTATATCCCGGTCTTAATTATTTTGTACTTTTTTAACAAAAGAGTTTCTATTACTCTTCTCCAAAATGGAATATATTTCCTATTTTTGCCTTTGTGGTAAAAGTGAATTTAGGGACAGTCACAGGAATTTAGACTATGGTTGCAGCTATTAAAAAAAATAATGACTTTACATCATAAACAGAACGGTCATCTTTTCTGTTTATGATGTAAAATCTTCATTTTTTTTTAAACCTAACCATATAGCATTCAAGATGATCTTATTACCTTTGGTGTTTTAGGAACTGTTTATCAACTATCTCATACTGCAAGTGAGGAAACCAAGTCTTAAAGTCTGAATTCATCAATTAGACTGTACATGGCTTGAAGTAGTATGGTGTTTCTAATCTAGCTCTCACCCACCATCACCACTTTCCTTTTCTTCCCACTAAAGGCTCCAGTATCCCCAATGTATATCAAAACTATGTTCCTTGGAGTTCTCATATTCTAGGAAATGTATCCAGAGGTACCACAAATGTTCAAAAGTCCATTTTAAAAAAATGTTTTTATGTCTTATTTTAAAAATAGCCTAGCTATTACCACAGTTTGACACAGTGAGAAACACCACACTGGTGCTGCCTACTTTATTTTTCAGGCAGATTTCAGAATAAAATTTCTGACATGCTTGTGCATCTGAGTATCTTGTATTATTGGTTAGGGAAAATCAAGCATTCCCTCAGTCATTCCTACGTGTATATCCACTCCCTTACATCATCTAGGTATATAACTGTAGCAGCTTGTGGATTGTTCTGTGCTTAGTGTACATGACACTGCTTTTAGACATTTTTATACCCAGATGTGAATGCCAATACCATTAAAGTAAGGGCCAGTCACTCTCCAGCACATTCACCATAAAGCTGAATAGAAGTCTACATCACAAAATGTGACCATTCCTTTCAGAAATGTTTATATTGAAATGTGATTGCCAGTGCCAAAATATAAGGGCCAGATACCCTTGCAGGACAGTCACTATAAAACTACTCATGACCATTGGTTACCTCACTGACCTTAGCTGCTGGGATGAAGTCCAGGATTAGCCTACTTTAAACAAATTTCTTTACTACACTCACCAGTCTTATCATGACGTTTCAGTGTAACCATTTAATACTCGTTATTAAATTTGTATTTTTTTCCTTTAATGCCTGGGTTAACATATATTTTGGAGGAAATTTTCATTTTGCACTATAATGGAAGAACAGAAATGTTCTGTCTTTAAAAACCTTTAATATATGCTCACTGGGTGAATTATATTCACTTTCTCCAAAAGT